CCCCCGAGCGCAGGCTCCCGATCCCACTGGGGTTCTCAATTCGCTGTGGGTCCCGGGTGCGTTCCTTGCTCCCTTTCTGGGCTCAGTTTACTCGCGGGTTCAAGGGGGTTGGTCTGGATGATCCCGGAGGCCAGCTTCGGCTCTGACCGGGGTGGCCCCAGCCCCGAACCTCCTACCCCCAAGTCTGGGATCCGTCAGGGTTCGCACAGGCCACATTACCTGTAGGGACCAATGGCCCCTGGGGCTTTCGCTGTGCTTATCACTCTTCTGACCAAGGACGACATGGCAGAGCCTTCTCTCTTGCAGCCCCTCTCGCTTCTCACGCAACTGACCAACCTCAGCAGCGCCGCTGCCCTAAGGCGCCGCGGGGGTCGGCTTCGCTCGGCATTCTGGGAATTGTAGTCTCGGCGCGACCCCAGGCCTCGTGGAGGAAGCGGCCGCGCTGGCGCATGCGTCCTGCAGCTTGCTGGCCGCGCGCGTCGCCTCGGAGGGGACTGTCGCAGGGGCTTGTCATTCTGACCCGGGGAGTCCTCAGAGCGTCTGGCCGGTAGGTCTTGAGTGGCTGGTGCCTGCCGGGGTCCACGAGTTTGGGGGGAGGGTGTATGGCCGCCCCCTACCCGACGCCCACTCCCTGGCCGACTCCCCTCCGCATCTTCTCTTCTTCAGCCCCTGTTGATCTCCTTTCCTTGCTGCCTGCGCCGGGGGCCCCACTACCCGGTGCCTCACTTCCTTCGGCTCCTGCGCTCGAGCCCCTTACGTCTGTCATTTCCCCTGCATTGCGCCCCGGGCGGAGGCCGTCCTGGGAATGGGCTTGCACCCTCTCTTCTGCCACCCTAAAGAAATAAGACGGGTCATTCAGGGGACCACGCTAGGATCTGGGCGTTGTCCACCTTCCCGCTTCCCCCACGTCCCTCGGGCTTTACAAGGTCTCCTTCGATCTGATCAGAGCTGTAGGGACTGGGATCTAATTGCAAAAAGAAGGATAGTGATCTTGGTCTAGCTAGTGGTCCCAGAGCTGGTCTCGGGACAAGTCACGTTGTATCAGAAGAGATGGTACTTGGCTAAGTATTTTTTTTATGTTGTTAATACTCGTATATATTATAGGCACGCTTCAGTTCTTCATTCATGCGTACATGCACACATTCAACAAATGTATATTGAGCCCTTACTTTGTACAGGGCACTCTGTTAGATGCTGGCGATGCAAAAGTTAAAAAAGGCACATAAGATCCCTGTTCTTCCCTGCTTTCAAAACGTAATTTAGGAAAATCCCCTTTCTTCCCTGTCATCTTGGCCTACATACTGCTAAGGTTCTGGCTTTCCTGTTCTGGCTCAAGAACCTAAAGATCTTTTTCACTGGATTAAAGGCTTCAGCTTGGAATAAAGGTCCTTACAGTCCGGCCTCCCTTTGCCTATTCAGTTTCATCCTCTCTACTCTCTCTGCCCACTCTAGTCCTCCAGAGTCATCACTCCTGCATTCACACAGTAAATTCCTGAATACTCTTTCTTCCCTATCTATGCAAATTCCAGCTAACTGAAATCCTGTTTTCTCGTTGACTTTTCCTGCTGATTCACATTTTTTCCTTATCCGGCTTCCTATTGTGCAATAATACACAACTTAGTTTTTACTATATGTGGTCTTATTCTCGAATTGTTTTGTGTTTTAAGATTAGTGAGTCGAGCCAGACAGCCTGGTTTGAGTCCCAGCACAATCACAAGCTTAGTGGCCATGGGCTGATTATATAACCGGTCTGTGCTTCAGTTTATTTATAAAATGAGGATAATACTAGTACCTCCCTCACAGACTTGTGAGAATTAAGTGAATAAGGCATGTAGAATAGTGCCTGACACATACAGTTCTCAATTAATTTTTAAGACAACTGAATTCTTTAAGGAAAAGAGACCACATCCTTACACTACTTTGGTATTACACACAGCCTGAGACTTAGGTACCCAAATGCTTGTTATATTTGGTTAAATTGGAGAATTAGGAGATGCTTTTTATTTACAAAATAATTCACCGTATGATTCTTGAAATAAGGAGATATGGGAGCATTACAAATAATTCAACTTGTGTAAAATATTTCTCGTGAAAAAAGATATCGTTATTCTTAAGGCACATTTTATATCAAGTTTGAATCATCAACTTTTTATTTTTTATTTATTTATTTGTCCTTTTTGAGACCGGCCGTACCGCGCTCAGCCAGTGAGCGCTGTGAGCGCACCGGTCATCCCTATACAGGATCCGAACCGCAGCGGGAGCACTACTGCGCTCCCAGCGCCGCACTCTCCCGAGTGCGCCACGGGCTCGGCCCTGAATCATCAACTTTTTAGATCTGGAAGGAAACTGAGATCATCTGGTTAATTTACAGGTTCTAAAATGAGTCCACTACACCAAGGGCTATGTCTGGATACTAAGCTTTATGAAAAGACATAACATGTCCATTTTACTTGAAGATTTTGGGAAAACATTTTTACAAAACCTGGCACATATTTAGTGCTCATTAAAGTTTTTCTTTAGTAAGATAAAATAAATAAATAAACTAAAATGAATGAATATGAAAAACACAAACTATCAATGTTAGGAATAGATGTAATATTGACTTGAATTAATGTTAAGAGATAAGATTCCTTCTGGAAGCTATTTTAAGCAAAATCCTCAGGTTTCACAAGGTTGTATTCTGTATTCATCCTCTTCTGCTGTTAGAACTGTTTGAGGACCACTGCTTGTTCAGTGTGCTCATTTTTTAGTCCGGAACCAAAACTCAGAGATGTGGCATCCCAAGGTTACCTAATCTAACGCCAGCCTGCTCTTGACTCATTCTAATCCTGAGCAGAACCTGGGATCCCAGGTTAGTGCTCTGTCTTGCTGGCTAAGTTCTGATTCAAGCAGGTAACAGTAGGTAGACTAAATGGTTTCATAAAATATTTTGAATGATTCTTAATGCAGACTGATCTCAATCAAGTGCTTCACTAGCCAACCAGTTCTGCAGAACTCCATCTACCTGCTACACATTGTTTAATTTGAAAAATGTTTTTGGGTGTAGATATGGTTGTCTTTCACTTAGGTGAAAGTAAAGTGGAGTAAGACAGTGAAATGATATAAATCCATTATTTCATTTATTAAGAATAGTAGCTACCATAAACTTAGCATTTAGTTTGTCTTAAGCCCCCAAGTTATGTACGTGTGGTGTTTCGTAAAGCCAAAACCTTATGTGTATATAAGGTTTATTTCATTCTTACCACAACTTTGTGATCATTCCCATCTGTAGAGGAGGAGCCTGAGGCTCATAGAGAGAAAGTAATTCTCCTAAGATTATATAACTAAAAAGTGGTAAGGAATGTATTTGAATCCAGGCCTTCTAACTCCAGAGAGAAGGCTCTTAACACTACACCACACACGCAACCCTTAATTTTGATGAGGTCTTGCATTGGAAGAGGAAGCAAGTGAATGGGTGGTAGTTAATTCAGTGGTTCTCAGCAGGAGTGGTACAAAGGCTGATATGGCATTTTGGCAGTTTGTGCAGGTGTTCTGGTTGGCATAGCGGTTGGGATAACACTGTTGGCATTTATTGGGCAGGGGCTAGAGATGTTAGGAAAGTCCCACAGTAGTCCAGCACCTGCCTCTGTTTTACATAAAAGTTTTGGTTACACAGTTTTAATTTACTGTACACTGAGTTTCCCAGGAATGCAACAAACTGAAGCAAGTTTGTACTTTTTTTTTGTACTTTACCAAGGAGTGTTCCCCACACTTGGAAAATTATCCCACCAGTGGTATTATTGTTACCTACTCTTTGAGGCACTAGTACGACACACCTGTATTGCTTTGCCTTTGTAGCTGTTGTGTTCCTGGTAATTGTACGTATACGTAGAAGTAAAAACTAGTATTAAAATGCTTTGAGAACAGCTTGGTAAATGTCTCCTGCTTTGAGCTTCCCTACCTCCTATTATCTCCATCCATGATCCTTCAGACTTTCTTATAGTCAGCAATGAAAGAGTTAATGACTGTTGCATGGTGAGGGAGGGCTTCCAGGACCCTTCTCCAGCTTTATGGATTGTGCCAGTGCCTGTGCTGGTGCTTGTATTGATGTGGTTATCCCCTGGGTCCAAAATCTCTTTCTACTTTATAATGTCATCTAGTACAGTTGTGGTGAAATAGTTACATACAGTATTTCTGTATTTATTAAAATTAAAACCTTTTTCTCTTTTGTGTTACAATTTGGGCATATATGGTAGGTTATGTGTTGATAAAAGTTATGTAGCTAGTTGGTTATGTTATTAATGAATTTTATTTCAAAATGAAAAACTGATTTAATAAAAAAAGGGTGGTTGAGTTTGACAGTTGGGAACTACTGAGTAAATCAATCAGGCTCTGCTAGGTTTTTGTCCTTTATCCTTCTTTCTTCAAATTGAAATCTTTATCTGTTGCTGTTATAAATTAAAGATATAGCTGGCCTCATTTCAGAAATGAAATGAAAACATCAGTAATTTATGTTCAGTTTTTATAGAGGTTATCCATTTGGAATAGGGTGTTCGATATCTCATTGATTCAGGTGGCTCTTATTTCACCTACGATAAAATGCTTTAACTAATTTACTTTTTTTACCCCACATAGTGATTTTATCTCACCTAACTTTTCATTCTTCCAGCAGACTTTATGCAGTGTCAACATTTATATATGATGTAATTATTTGTCAATGCAAACTGGAATATACTACTAGGGTCTCTTCCATCAATAGACTTATTTTTTTTCTGTTGAATTGGGTTTTTGGTGTTAATACCATTTGATAGTCCTCCTAGATATCTCCCCAGTTATGAACCCCTGCCATAGGTCAATATCATGATAACATTTTGATATCATCAATCCACCTACAATAAATGAAGATTTAGTATGTTGAAGAATTATTTTGAGTCTTATGAATATTTATTTATTAAATTTATTTTTATTTTTGAATGGATGGTCTCTCTCCCTGTATTAAATTTATTACTTCCTTTCCAGAAATGTCTAATGCAAAAGAAAGAAAACATGCTAAGAAAATGAGAAACCAACCCACCAATGTGACTTTATCCTCTGGCTTTGTGGCTGATAGAGGAGTAAAGCACCGTAACAGAGGTGGGAAACCTTTCCAAGCTCAAAGACAAGGTAAGATACACAGGATGCTTTCTCCACTCCCATTTAAGTCAAATCACTTTTGTCAGCTCCTTTTGATAGTCATTATCTAAATAGTAAATGAGCTGAATTATAAATAGATATAGCAGACAGTCATTATTCTCAAATTTCATATTTACAAATTTGCTTGCTCACTTAAGTTTACTTGTAACCCCCAAATCAATACTCGTGGAGCTTTGGCAGTCATTCGTGGACATGCACAGAGCAGGAAAAGTTTGAGTTGTCCCATGTGTATGTTCCCAGCCTGCTTTCTTGTTCTAGCTCTCATGCAGAGATGGCTAGAGGATAGAGACAGTAGAAAAGGCAGTACAGTACAGCGCAAGAAGCTCTGGCTGGGGTTTGAATTTCAACTGTGGGGTGGCCTTGTGCAAGTCACTTCATTTTCTCTTTTGTAAAATAATGGAAATAGAATCTACCAGGATGAGTTGTTTTTAGGAATTAAGAGTATAATCTATGTGAGATTGAGATATAGGAAGGTACTTCAAAAAGTTTGTGGAAAAATAGAATTACAAGATAATATGACTCTTTCATGACCTTTTTGAAGACCCCTTGCATACACACACACATATATATATATATTCCCCCAAGAGCAATGGTTCAGTATTCACTAATTCAGTGTTTGCTGTGAGTTTATAGACCATAACTATAATGAAATTGATTAAATAATGAAAAATAATGAAAATTAATTGTGTGTATTTTTTACAGCTGAATTATTTTATTCTACCATGGCATCAATTATTATTAAATTACACTTCTGTATTTCATATAGTAATCAGTACAGTTATCATATCTGCATTTAACTTATGTGCAGATTTTAGAACCTTACAAGGTGTTAGTAAGGTGACAGTTGTTCATTGGGTGGGGCAGCAGTAGAAAATGCCAGTTTGGGAAGACAGCAAAAGCAGGTGGCCAAGAACTTTTCTGAAATACTTTAAAGAACAGTGTGCATTCAGTCTGATTATGTAAATTTTAGATTCGAATTCATAAGATCTAGATTCAGATCCAACAATTGATGCCTGCCATGCCATGTAATGAGCCTTTCACTCATATTATCTCATTGAAACCTCACAATGAGAAACCTTGTAACATGTTTCAAGATTATAGTGGCTTAATAATTTTTTTTTTTTTTTTTTTTTTTTTTTTTTTGCGGCTGGTCAGTAGAGGGATCTGAACCCTTGACTAGATATTATCAGAACCATTTTTTTTTTTTTCCTTTTTGTCTTTTTTCATGACCGGCAACGGATCGCAACCCTCAGTGTCACGCCCGTACCGGACCGGGACCGGCCACGGGATGGCAACCCTCGGTGTTGCTCCTGCCCCTCGCTCAGCCAGTGAGCGGCCGGTCTGTATGTGGGATCCGAACCCTCGGCGGGAGCGCCACCGTGCTTCCCAAGTGGCGCACTATAGCAGTGCGCCACCGGGCCGGCCTATCAGAACCATTTTCTAACCAAGAGAGTTAACTGGCTAGCCCTTTATAATGGCTTAATAATTAACACCACAATGAAAATAAACGAGAACACTGTAAAATTCTCCACTGGTCTCTCCCTCCATTCACAGACAGGTATTTGATGTTATTATAAAGTCAGAATGGTTTGAATGCCCAGGCATTCCTTCTTTATTAATTTAGCATAGTGGCTGTCAATTTGAATGTGCCAGAGAATTAGGATAAAAGACTGAATGTACAGAATCATGTGGGTCATTGTATTTAAGGGAGTGTTATTCAGGCTGCTGTAACAAAATATCTTAAATTGGGTAGCTTCTAAATAACGGAAACGTACTTCTCACAGTTCTGGAGGTTGAGAAGTCCAAGATCAAGATGCCAGCAGATTTGGTGTCTTGTGACTGCTGCTTTCTTTTTCATAGAGGGCACCTTCTTGCTGTGTGCTTACATGGTGGAAGGAGTGTGGTGGGGCCTCTTTTATAAGGGTACTAATCCTAATCATATCTCAAAGTCCCCACCTCCTAATACCATCACCTTGGGAGTTAAAATTTCAACATGAATTTTGGGGGGACACAAACATTCAGACCATAGCAGGCAGCTTAGACTTAAAATTCATGTTGCACTGTAAATATGCAATGGAGAAAATTTTCCTTGTGTCTGTTATATCCAGTGTTCTTTATATATCGCAGTGACATGATTACCTATCATGGTGCCTACTAGCTTTGTGACCTTGGGTAAGTTAATTCACTTCCCTACCTGAGATCCCTCCTCTTAGGTATAGTAATAGCCGTCTTTTATAGGGAGGTTGTAGGATTAAAAACATGATCATCATTTATATATGGGAGCTAAAAAAAAGTGAACTCATAGAAGCAGAGAGTAGAATTGTGGTTACTAGAGGCTGGGAAGGGGGGAGGGGATAGAGAGAGGTTAGTTAACAGATACAGAATTACATCTCGATAGGAGGAATAAGTTCTTATATTTGATAGTAGGTGTCTAATTAAAAACCATTTAATTTTCGGCAGCTGGCCAGTACAGGATTGTTTTTCAATAAAGAAAACTAATAATAATGATCACATATTTAGAAAAAGCAGAAAATATTAAGAAAAAAAACCCTTGTAGTCAAAACCACTGTTAAAAATTCGTTTGTTCTTTGTTTGCTAATGTGATTATTGCACTTAAAAATGGTTGTGATTATATTGCATGTACTATACTGCACACAGGCCCTGTTTTTAACAACTCTTTTAAAACTTTTTTTTTCCGATTATAAAAGTAAAACTGAATCCTTGCAGAAAACTTGAAGAATGTAGAAGTTGAAGAAGAATAATCTCACAATGGTATAATACAGACACACTGTTGGTGTTCATCTGACAGGGGGTTAGAGTGGGTGAATTGCAAGCTCATCTACTTCAAGTCTGTCTTCCTTCTGAAATTCACCAGAAAAGGCACTGATTCAAGACTTGTTCTTAAAGATGTTGTCATTTCCTTTGACAGCTTCCACTTTTGCTCAAGCGCGAGCTGCTGAAATCAGTGCTATGTTAAAAGCCGTGACCCAGAAGTCTTCTAATTCACTGGTTTTCCAGACTCTGCCACGGCACATGAGACGAAGGGCCATGAGCCACAATGTCAAACGCCTTCCTAGACGATTGCAGGAGATCGCTCAGAAAGAGGTAGGAGTTTCACTTAGTGTAGAGGTTTAGGTTAGTAGTCCCTAGAGGAAATTGAGAAGTATTAACCTAACAGAAGTTACTAAAGTGAAAACCATAAAACAACATGGTCATTATGACATGCTTTTTTTTAAAGCGTATTTTTGGTTTAATCATTATCCAGTCCTCACCTCCTCCTGCCACCTCCCTAAGCCAACTAGCAGGCGGTTGGATATTACAGCTTCTTTTCAACATAGCATTTGGAACCCCTTCTTGTTTTTGAATAGTTGATGTTCTTCTCCCACATTTAAAATAAAATTCTGACCCTCTTATCAGATAAATGGTTTTGGTTCTGTGTTTTGCAAGTGTGGCCAGCTTGGGGCTAGAAGGCAAAAAAAAAAAAAAAAAAAAAAAAAATTCAGCATCAATGCCTAGCATTTGCCTTTTGACATTTTCAAAATTGAAAACTGAACTTGATTTTAATTTTTATGCAAGTGTAATTGTATTTTGGCTTCACATTTGGCTTAGAATGTTCTGGAGTTGAACATTCTAAGATTGTATAGTTGCCCAGGTCTTTACTAATTGATTCACAGTTTATTGAGCGGCCTTCTGTGTGCTGCTACTGTGCTGGTGGTGAGGTCAGACTTCAACAAGGTAAAGTCCTTATCCTTAAGGAGCTCCCAACTAATGGAGAAGAATTTTTTTCACAAAAGTTTAGGTTGGCTATGGAAGTGATTAGGAGTGAAAACTAATCAGGAATTTTGTACTTTCTAGATTTAATGTAAGGTCTGTTTGCCAGTGATAGCATTTAGCATTTGTCTGTCTGTAGTAGCCTAACCGAAATGAAATGTATGTGTTTTCCCTACTTTTATATTTTTTGTCTCAAGTTTTTGGTTTTAGTTACAGTCTTACAGGTTAAAACAGCAACAAGAGGCTAGCATTTGATTTATTCTCATTCCCTAATAGTAATAGCCATATTAAGCTTGTGTTACTGTATTGAACATTTCATAAATATTCTAATCTTTGTAGTCCATGAAGCTTGCCCAGTTAGTGAGTGATAGAACTGTGCTTCCTTCCTAGGTTTGCCTATCTCTAAAATCTTCATTCTTTCTCTTGTATCCCCTCTCTACTTACATTGGAAAACCCACAAAGTTAAAAAATTAAGCAAAGTAATGGGGTCTGTAAGGTACTTCACTTAATGTAAAGTTAGTTGTTTGAAATCTTAACTTTTAACTTTGTGGTGAGATGCTTGCAAAATAGAATATACCTCTTTTGAAACTATAGGCAGAGAAAGCTGTACATCAGAAAAAAGAACATTCAAAAAATAAATGCCACAAAGCTCGAAGATGTCACATAAACCGGATGCTAGAATTTAACCGTAGACAAAAGAAGAACATATGGTTAGAAACGCATATCTGGCATGCCAAACGGTTTCACATGGTCAAGAAGTGGGGCTACTGCCTCGGAGAGAGGCCAACAGCCAAGAGCCACAGAGCCTGCTATCGAGCCATGACACAACATTGCCTCCTTCAGGTAGGCTCTCGTAATGGGTTTTTCTTTTTCTTTTTGTTTAGATCCTTTCTGATAAGAGACTTTTAGAATAGTTTATGGTATGCCAAAGTCCTGTTTATAAGTTTATTCATTTTATCTGACAGGAGAATTTTGTTTTGTTTTGTTATGTATGATTTTTGATTTTCGGCAGCTGGCCAGTACAGGATCAAACCCTGGACCTTTGTATTATCGGCACCATGCTCTAACCAACAGAGCTAACTGGCAGTCTGAGGATATTCATTTTAAAAATGATTCCTGAGCATGAGGCACTTTGCTAGATGCCGGAGATGAAGCAGCTTAAAGTTAGTGGGGGAGGTGGACATTAATCTAATTATTAGCCAAATATATGATTGTAGGGGAAAAGTGTGTAGTACTATGAGTGTTTCTAACAGGACAGAAAGGCTTCCCCTGGAAGTGATGTTTCAGCCAGGCTCAAGGCAGAAGATGGGAGAGTGAGGGAGGCAGAAGGAAGCCAGATGAGAATGAGGAATTGAAATAAATTCTTTGTGACAAAGATGAAGGGAATGAGAGCAAGGCTCACAGTAGGGTGAGCTTAGGCTGGAGAAATAACCAGGAACCAGTCATGCAGGATCTTGTTGGTCATGTTCAGAATTTATTCAGTGTAGATTAATCTAGTTGTCATTTATCAACAACAGATGTTTAAGAACATATTTGTACCCCGAGCAGTGTTCAAAATGCTGTTCTAGGTGTTTATCATTCAATGGGATGCTGGGAAGGATGTTTTAAATTTTAAACTCTCTGAGAGGACAGTTTGTTTTAGAGCCTCTTAATGGTATTTATGGGATTGCCTCTCTCCCCAGTAGCTAATTCAATTGCTTTCTGTCTCTTCCAATACATATTTTTAAATGTGCTCTTTGCAGAAGGGCTTATCTTTCAATGGCAGGATGGCCTTCGCCGAGTTTTGAAAGCCATTGGTATTGGTGTCCTCTGATACCTCTTGAGAGCCATATAGCAGAATAATCAAAATAAGAACTTTTTTTTAAATTGTGGTAAAATATACATAACATAGAATTGACTATTTAACCATTTTTAAGTGTACAGTTCTTTGGCATTAAGTGCATTCTTGCTGTGCACCTATCACCATCATCTGTCTCCAGAACTTTTTCATCTTCCCAAAGTGAGATCCTGTACCCATTAGACAGTAACTCCTCATTCTCCCCGTCTCCCCAGCCCCTGGCAACCACCATTCTATTTTATGTCTTTTAATTTGACTCCTTTAAGTACCTCATATGAGTGGAATCGTACAATAATTGTCCTTCTGTGACTGGCTTATTTCATTCCCCGTCTCCCCAGCCCCTGGCAACCACCATTCTATTTTATGTCTTTTAATTTGACTCCTTTAGGTACCTCATATGAGTGGAATCGTACAATAATTGTCCTTCTGTGACTGGCTTATTTCATTTAGTATAATGTCCTCAAAGTCCATCTATGTTGTAGCATGTGACAGGATTTCCTTTTTAAGGCTGAATAATATTCCATTGTATGTATATGGCACATGTGGTTTATCCATTATCTGTCAGTGGACATTTGGTTTGCTTCCACCTTTTGGCTACTGTGAATAATGCTGCTATGAACATAGCTGTGCAAATATCATTCAAGTCTCTGCTTTCAGTTCTTTTGGGTGTATACCCAGAAGTGGAATTGCTGTATCATATGGTAATTCTATTTTTTATTTTACATTTTTTAAATGTAATTTTTTGAGGTATCACCATACTGTTTTCCACAGCAGCTGCAGAGTTTTACATTTCTACCAGCAATGCACAAGAGTTCCAATTTCTTCATATCCTCAACACATATTATTATTATTGTTATTTTATGGTAATAGCTGTTCTAATGGGTATGAAATTAGTACAAGAATCTTTTAAGAGTCTTTGATTTGAGAACTAAGCAGCAGAACATAGACTGTAGTCAAATCCTTCATTTCCATCAAGGAAGCTGGGTTTTAGAGACATGAAGTGACTTGTCCAGGGTCACATAGCTTGTTGGTGGCCTGGACAGCACCTGGGCAGCTGATTCTCCTGGCCTATGCTTTTTCCACTGTACTCTGATATCTCTCGAATTTTAAGACAGTATTATTTAAGAATGAGTTACTTCTTATTTTGGGCAGGATTTTTGCTGAAGTCATCAGATATTTTTCTAACATGACTAGCCCAAGTAATAAAAACAGTAGGTAATGACAGATATTTTTGAGTGTTTGATATATGCCCAGACCTGTTTTAAATGCTTTATGTGTGATTACTCATTTAATCCCTACAATAACAGTAGAGGTAAGTTGTTACTGTTATTTTCATTTTTCAAGTATGGATACTGAGGTACAGGGAGGTTAAGTAATTTACCTATGATCATACAACCAACAAGTGATGAAGTTGAGCCCAGGTGGCCTGACTCTAGAGATACGCACTCTTAACCATTATTCTCTGTGCTGTCACCGCTTGTACAAATTAGGGTGATGTTCATCTGGTCATTAACAGCAGAGCAAGTCACTGTTGATAAGAAGGAAATCTTTGTGTGTGAGTGATTGCGCTGATTAATGCGAGTTTGTCAGAATCATAGCTATAATTTCCTGTTATTTCTAGTTGCTGAGTGTACTGAAATTGCTTAATGGTGCTGTGACAGAGGGGTTTGTTCAGGGTCAGTGAGCCTGATATGAATGCTGGCTTCTGTACCCTCTGACTATATGACTTTGTTTAAGTAACAATCTCTGTGTCTCAGTGTCCTCGTTTGTCAAATAAGATAACAATACGTGGTACATCAGGTTTTTGGGAGGACTAAATGACAGTCCCTGTAAGGAGTTAACCCAGTTCCTGTCACTCAGTAACCCTTCAGTGAATACTATTATAAGTATTATCATTTGTTATATATTATTATAACTATTATTATAGCTACCATCATAACTATTATTAAGAACTTTTAACATATCGATTTCACTAGCTCAGTCTGATCTCTCTTTATCTTATTTAAGTTGGTAAGGTCTTATTCTCATTACTGTCATATTTCCTTGTACCTTGCATAGTCAAAGTTGCATATCATGGTCAAGACTGAGCATGGGCGGATATGGGATAAATTAATTGCAACATTGTGCATCTGGGCTCAGTGTTAAATAATCTTGAGGTCCTGAATTAGCTAACCAAAGTGAGCAATCTTAGCATAATTTTGAAGAATTTATTACCATCTTGCTTATTCTATACTTGTTTCTTATCTTAGGTACATTTTGGGGAAATAGTTCTTTACTTAGAAGCAGCAGTTATTATATTCCCTCCTCAGAACTTGCCGATGCATATGAGATAAAACACAGATTTTCTTTCAAATAGTAGGACACTGGAACTTACATTTCAAATGGAGATTCATTTTGATTTTGATTCAAATGAGTTTAAGAATATTTCCTAATAGGAATGGACCTCTAGAAGTTTTCTGATGTGACTTTAGGCTCCTTAGCAGTTTTGCCCAATGAAAATTCCTAAGTATTTAATTGTGTTTCCCCCTTTGTGCAGGATTTATCCTACTACTGTTGTTTGGAGTTGAAGGGCAGAGAGGAAGAAATACTAAAGGCACTTTCTCAAATGTGTAGCATAGACACAGGTAAACTTTTTTGAAGCTGAGTCCTATTTTAGTCTTTGTGTATGTATTCATTTCATGAAAAGGTGTCTTCTGTAAGTGTTTTGGAATTTAAACATATGTAAAAATGTGTGAGACACTTCTTGTTCCCAATGAATATATTAATTTAAGAAAAGTTGGGGTGGCTTAATTAAGAAAAATCATTTTGAATCACTTAAAAATCATTTCTAACATTATAAAGTGTAAAGTGAGAGAATCATTATCCCAGTGGAGTGAACTTAGGCAGGAAGAAACTTGAAACTCTTATTAAATCATTCATTTAATAAATGTTCACTGAGAACTTACTGTGTGCCATGCTTTGATTTAAGCGATGCTCAAAACCAAAACTTCACCCCTCATGGAGACATGCAATAAATAACAATATGGCTATCAGAAAATAATGATACAGTCTCAATGCTTGAAATCATGGAGTTTTGCTTTTATTTATGTCAGGATTGACGTTTGCAGCAGTTCACTGCTTGTCTGGAAAGCGCCAAGGGAGTGTCATGCTTTACCGGGCAAATAAATATCCCAGAGAAATGCTTGGGCCTGTTACATTTATTTGGAAGTCTGAGATGATCCCAGGTGACACCTCTGAGAGCAGGCAGTTGTGGATCTGGCTTCATCCAGCTGTTAAACAGGTATAATTCATCAGACTATTTCCCCATCATTCTGTCACTATATTCTTAATTACCTTTGGAAGTCAATACTATAGAAATGTAAATAGTATAAAAGTTGGCTTATAGTGTAGTATTTGAATATGGGGAGGAAGTTGTGTGAATATTGAATGAAACAAATTTGTTTTAAAATTTTTGACTTTTTTATTTAAAAAATTTGTATTTTAATGTATTTAATTGACAGAGTGAATATATTTAAGGTATACAATATGATGATTTGATGTACCTATACACTGTGTAATGATTACCACAATCAAATTAACACATTCATCACCATCTATGCTGTACATTAGATCCCCAGAACTTTTTCATCTTGTAAAATGAAGCAGATCTGGAGCTCTCAGTTTTTAGTAAATCATAAGCAGAAGTAGAGATGAAAACCAACCTTATTATGCTAATAGTTTGAAATACTGCGTTTGGAATAATGCTTCCACCATACCTGAAACTGATTCATTGGTTTATTTTAGAGCCTATTTGATAATGAGAGCTATTTTGAGTAATTCTGATGACTTTTAATACTACATTTAGCTTAGCTTCCCTTCTTTTGCACACTCACTGCTTTTATACCATAGAGTGTAAATTTTCTCCAATTTTCTCTTTGAACTTGTTTTTTGTATTTTTTTTTTTTTTCTTAATTTGGTCAGAGTGGTCATGTTGTTTTCATGATATTTGACATTTGGCTCTTTTTTTGTTCAGAGTGCCAAGCACTACTCAGTTAGAAAACCCCAAAAAACTTTTTGATAATGATAAACTTAGTTTAATTAGTAAAGGGATAAAAATGTGGGTTTTTAAAGGGATAAAAAAAAATAACATAAACTAAAACAACTAAATTTGTAATAATATATTGAAATCTCAAAATTTAAAAGTAGATGTTTAAAAATACCCTTAGGACATATTAGAGGAAATAAAAGCAGTGTGCCAGTGTACAGAACCTATCAAATCAACTGTCTGCATCCCTGAGCTTCTGACATCATCTCAAGAAAAAAACCATACTGAACTGCCTGATGAGAAAATTGGCAAGAAAAGAAAAAGGAAAGGTGATGGAGAAAATACCAAACCAATTAAAAAAGTTGTTGGTGATGGAACTAGAGATCCATGTCAACC